TGTCTGAACAGGCAGCTTGCCTCTCTTCCCCCCGGGGTGTCCCCCAGCCCGGAACAGCCCAGGGCGCAGCGGGCCTCGGGAGCTGCCCCGGGTCACATCTCTATCCTCACCGATAGGACTTACGGAACTACTAGGGTGTGCTTATCAGACTGCATTCTCGTTCATTTTATATATCTCCAATAATTTTTCATACTTCAGTGTACTCTGTAGTTACAATTTTAAAGCACACGTAACCTTTTATTCACGTCCTCGGTTAGCATTTACTTAATCATGTCCTGTCTATACTCCCAGAGGATTTTATTTTATTCTTTTCCTGCTTCATTGAGATATAATTGCCCATAGCATTTTAGATTGTGATGTTTTCCTCCGATGAGAGCTCTCAGGGAGTGACCAGATTGCTTTCTAAAATAACCGTACCGTTCCAGACAAAGAGGAGCATATGTCATGTGTAAGACTTCAGTGTTACTTAAAATAGGCAAAAACTAGAAGGAGTTCAACTGTCTGTCAGCGGGAAAATGGAAAAACGAATCGTAGCATTTTCACGCCACAACAGATTACTTAGCAATGAAAAGAAACGAACCACTGACACATGTAACAATGTGAATGAATCCTATAAACATTACCCTGAGCAAAGAAGGCCAGACTCGGTAAAGCGTATGCCATATACTCCGCAGGGGTTCCGAATGAGCCTCCTCAAGATGTGCCATTCAGGAGATTATTCTGAGGCGGCAGCAACCAAGGCCCAGAAGTGAGAGGAACCTTTGACTTCCCCCACTGACTGCCTGCAAGGGTTTCAGAGCAAGGACCTGCTCCAGGAGGGGAGCTATCGCCCTGGACAGCTACAGTTATCTAAGGGGAAGTGGGGACCAAGGCAAGAGCAGGGTTTGGTCTTTCTGCTGTCCAAGTAACAGCTCTGGCCTAACCAGTGTGCCTCTTGCAGCTGAACGGCAGACAGTGAGTGTGACAGAGTAAGAAGTAGGGATCTGGTCTCTGCCTCTGGTTCCTGGCAGGCTTGTCCTAAAAGCCTGGGAATCTTCACCCTGATAAGTATCTTTTTGTATGCGAATGAGATGACTGGTGTCTGGGGACTCCTAAGTTATCTCAGGATGGGGGCTGGTTACCAGGGGAACCGACCAAATGATCGTAGGGTAGAACTTACACCCCCACCCCTGCCTTCTGGGGAGGGATCTGGGGCATGAGATTGACTTGGTCTCTACAGATGGCTAATAATGTAGACATTCATGCTCACATAAGGAAGCCTTCATCAACATTCTAAAAGATGAAGAGAAAGGATTTGATAAAATTCAGCACCCATGTATGATTAAAAATTCTCAGCAAAGTGGGAACAGAGGGAATGTAAATATATATAATAAAGGCCATATATGAGTAATCCACTGCGAGCATCATACTCAACGGGCAAAAACTCTAAGGGTTCCCGTCAGGATCAGGAATGAGACAGGGAGGTCCGCTTTCACGTCTCTCATTCAGCATAGTTCTGGGGGTACTAGCAATAGCAATCAGACAAGAAGATGAAGGAAAAGGCGTGCAAATTGGAATGGAAGAAGTAAAACTGTCTTTATTTGCAGATGACATGATATTGTACATAAAGAACCCTAAAGATTCCACCAAGCAATACTAGAGCTGATCAACGAATTCAGCAAACGAGCAGGACAGAAAATCCATACCCAGAAAATATTGCATTTTTATATGCCAACAATGGACTATGATAAAGGGAAATTGAGAAAACTATCCACTCACTATTGCTCCAAAAAGAATAAAATATCTCAGAATAAAGCTAACCAAGGATGTAAAAGACCTGCACTCAGAAAATTATAAGACACTGAGGAAAGAAATTGAAGAAGATACAAATAAGTGGAAACGCAAACTGTGTTCATAGATAGAGAGAATGAACATCATCAGAAAGTCCCTGCTACTCAAAGCAATCTATAGATTCAACACAATCCTTATCAAGACCCAATGACTTATTGCACAGGGCTATAACAAGTATTTCAAAATTTATATGGAACCACAAAGTGCCCAGGAATACCAACAGCAATCCTGAGAAAGAAGGACAAGGTTGGAAGAATATTGCTACCTAATATCAAACTACACTCTAAGGCCAAAGAAATGAAAACAGCATGGTACTGGTATAAAACAGACACATAGATGAATGGAATGAAATGGGAGCCCAAAAATGGACTGACAACTTTAAAGTCAAATAATATTTAATGGAGGAAGCAAGCACATGCAATGGGCTAAAAAAGTTTATGCAATAAATGGTGTCGGGGATTTCCTGACCAAGAGAGTGGCATAGGGAAATGCAGCTACCTCCTCACACAGACACATCAAAATTACAACTAAAGTATAGAACAACCATCACTCGGAATCAACAGACATCGATTGAATGAATGTCCGACAACCAGGAAATTAAAGAAGCCATGTTCATTCAGACTGGGGGGAGGCACAGAGATGCAGAGACGGGGAGGTGGGGAAAGGGCGGGTCCCACACCCATGTGCAGTGGTTTAAGTCCAGGAGGGATATCTCAAGAGTAAGGGGTGGTAGCCCCACGCCAGGCCTCCCAGCCCAGGGTTCCAGTGTCCAGGATTCCCAAGCGGTTCCTCTCAAAGGGCCCACACACAGACGTACTCAGACTCGCTCCCTCTGAACTCCAGCACGGGGGCAGCAGTGAAGGGGCACCAGTGGCATACAGCGAGGACGTGAAGTGTCTGGCATCAGGGTGACACCTGGGAGACAGCTTTCTCCCAGACAGAATTCCGAGCAGAGGCCATTGTTCCTTTTCTGTGCCCTCCACCCACAGAGCAGGCTGGCTGGAGCCATATCGGAGACTACCTCAACCGGGCTCACACTCCGTGGCCCACCCCGGTGTTTCCCTGAGGGTCTGCCCCACCCAGCTGCAGGGCCCACCCAAGCTCTTAACAGCGGCTTTTCCACATGACTGCCTTTGTCTTGGCTCACGCTTCAGATGTTCCTAGAGCCTCTCCAACAGGCAAGAGCCAGCCCTGGCTGGCCCGAGCCTCAGTACCTCTTGCTAAGTGGCCCCCGGCCTGGATCTAGTAGCATTAGCCTTGGCTCACAAGCTGGCTTCGCCTGGGTTCTGAGAGCCCAGCACAAGTAGCAGCGGCCTGCGGATCGCTCTGCCGCTCACGCTGGGTGGCCCCAGGCAGAATGCCGGTAGTGGCTGATGTTGGTCTGCACCACCCAGGAAACCCCGGAACCTGTGCACCCAGCGGACAGCTACAGACCGCGTCAGAGCACCACCGACCAACCACCTCTGTAAGCGACACAGTCAGCGGGCGGACTCAGTGGGCTCCAGACCCTCTTGAAGAAAGTCCAGAGCCGAGGAGTGCATCCCTGCGCAGCTATCATTAATAAATGATCACCCAAGTGCTGGTAATGATGTGGAGAAAGGGGAAGCCTTTTGCACTATTGGTGGGAATGCAGATTGTTGTCCCCACTGTGGAAAACAGTATGGAGACCTTGAAAAATTAACGACGGCACTGCCTTTTGACATAGTGATCCCACCTGGGAATACATCGGCGGAAACCCCAAATACTAATTTGCAAGAACATAAGCACCCCTATGTTTATTGCAGTGTTATTTAAAAATGCCAGGATAAGGAAGCAGCCCAAGTGTGCATCAGTGGATGAGTGCATAGAACAATGAAGGGATATTTACACATTGGAATACTACTTCACTCATGAACACAAAGAGAATTTTACCCATGTGACAGCATGGATGGATCTGGAGAACCGTAGGCTAAGTGGTATAAGCCAGCCAAAGGAAGACAAATACCTCGATTTCACTCCTATGTGCAATCTAATGAACAAACTGAATTAATAAGCAAAATGGGGTCATACTCATACACAGAGAGCAGGATGACAGCTATGGGGGGCGGGTGAGGCGGTACGGGGATTGAACAAGGATGAAAAAGGACTCAGGCCGTGGACAACAGCGTGGTGATGGCAAGGATGGGGGAGGGTGGGTTAACAGGGAATAAAGGGTATTGGGGGGGAAATGGAGTAAAAACGAGGGTGTGATCACGTTGAAAGTAAAACAGATGTGGAGATTTCCTGTAGCTTCTGAGTCTCTGGGTCCACACTCTTCAGGGTGCCAAGAGGCTGTCCCATGGATGTCAGGATGGAAAAGGGGAGCAACCCGGTGGGGGCCCAGGGCAGTGGCTCCAGTTTAGAGCAAAGGACGCTGAAGCTTGGGCCCCGGAGCCGGCTCTTTGGAGATTGTCCGCGTGTGAGCCATGGGACTCAGCGTCGGGCCCCTGGGTAACACACCTGTTGCTCGATGTGGCTTAGGGCACTTTGGATTTTCTGAACAACTCAGCTCCAACTTTTGTGCCACTTGAGCAGCGCTCCTTCCCTCACAGGACATAAATCGTGAAGGCCCCGTGTGAGGAAGAAGGCTGGGCTTTTCCTGCTGGACTCCTGGCTTCAGGGGCTCAGTTCACTTTATTCTACTCAGTGGACCCGCCTCCGACAGGGCCCCATCTCCAGGGCTCAGAACGCATGAGCAAGAGGGCTGGTTTCTGGGGGCAAACTTCATTCCCCGGTGTCGTATCCTCTTGTGGATGTTGGGTGCCCAGAGGCTGCCATGAGGACACTTCAGGGAGACACCCAACCCCCCTGACCTAGGTCCCTCGGTCTCCCCTGATCTGCCCCTGCCCTGGCCCGGGCCCCACCTCTTACCAGGGTCAGCTGCATCCACGGACTCCCCTTGCCTACAGTCAGGCCCTCCCAACTCGCCTCCCTCGATGGCCAGGCGAGGTCTGCAGAGAGGCCCTTCATGCCTGGCCACACCTGCCTCAGGCCCCCCTGTCCCTTAGCCACCTGAGCTCTCCTTTGGGTCCTATCTGGTGGTCCTCCCGGGCTCAGTTCTGGGCAGCCTCAACATGAAAGATTGGGAGAATGAGTGAAGGAGCTTATGTGACCAAGTACTTATTCCAAAGCAGAAGCTTTATTGATGCCACAGAGGGAAAGAACTGAGGTACAAATGTTGGAAGGGGGGCTCAGGACAGACCCCCGACGTCTCCGACGTCCTTATCCAATACTGTGTCTCTCTCGGTCTCGCCTTTGGCCTTCCTCTCCTCCTCATGTTGTTTCTCCAGCGTCTTACAGAGATCCTATTGGGGAGTGGGAAAAGAAGAAAACGCCATGATGGGGGGAGGGCAGGGGGCTCCTGGGGGGAACTGTGAGGTCCCCTCTGGACTGTGGCAGAAGCATGAGGATGGCTCTAGTCCGGTCTCTGACACTTCCGTTGGGTGACCTTGGGGAAGTCATTTCTCTCCCTGAGCCTCGGCTGATTCAGCCCTGGAATGGGGGCTCAAAGCCTTAAGAACAACTGGAATTTACAGAGCACTTACGACCTGCTAAGCCCTTATGTGGATCTGGATTTCTCACCACCGTTTTGCAGAAGATGCGGCTGAGGCTCTTAGTGGCCGTGTGGCCTGACCGAGGTCCCCTGGCCCGTAGGTGGGCAGAGCAGGCTGTGGGCCAGGGAACCCCCCTCCAGGGCCGATGTTCATAGGCCCTTTCCCGGGGTCCCCAGGAGCAAGGGGACAGTCTGTTTCACCCTTGGTCATGGGAGATAACCTCGTGGCAAGCAGATGGGGACATTTTTATTTGAATAATGCTGAAAGGATGCCATGTACTTCCAACAAAGTGTGAGCGGCTCATCAGCTCTGGGAGTTCAAATATGGTTGCGTAAAACAAGACCAAGTAAAGCCTTCCACTTAACACAGGTTTACAGGAAAGTAATGAGACCGTTACTCAGGTAATGCTCAGTTACAGCAAAAATCGGGCTGGTGGTCCTGGGCTTGCTGCCTGCAGTCAGATGACCCTGGGCACCACAATCATACCCGCCCTCCATTGCGTGGTTGAGAGGCCGGCATGGTGGCAGGGCCTTGCGACAATCTTTCCCTTCATGTGTCTCTTTCCCCAGCCGGCACCACCAGTCCTTGGCCATGCTGCCGCCCTCCTCTTAGCCTTCTCTATCCTCCCCCCTGCTCCACCCGCCTTCCCTGTTTCCCCAGACTCATCCCTTCTGGGCTCTGGTCCTCCCTCTTTCCACGGGCCTCTCTGAAGCTCAGCAGTCTCTGCAGTGAGGTGGGTGCTTAAAAGCAGGTTCTCCTTCCTTGCTGTACAGCCCTGGTTGGAGCTTTCTCTCTCTGGACCTCTGGGCTGCCCAAGGCAGGAGCACCCTCGCGTGAGCACAGCCGAGTCTGCCTTGCACTCACCTTTTTATCATCAGCATACAGAACTTCTGACTTGTTCATGCCTCTGCACCTGAGGTCCTCATAGAACTGGTTCATTTGCTCCGGGGTCACCTCTGGCTTGTCAGCTGCAGGAGGGACCACGGGGACTGGTAAGGATGTGCAGAGGGCTGGTGACAGGCCAGTGAAAGCTGGGGGTAGGGGCACAAGCCCCAGGAGTTGGTGCTCATGGGTGAAGCCTGGATGAGAGTTTGGAGCGTACTTACCAAAGAAGGATATCCCGATTTTCTCTGGGTCATCTGGGAAGGCAACAAGCATGTAGATCCTGTGATCCTTTGGCAACATCAGTCGGCTAAACTGTTCTGTTTCATTCTCTGGAAGAGAAAGCCTCTGGGTGAGACCATGGGAACAGCACAATGGTTCCCTACTCACAGGTGAGGAAACTGGGTGTGCCCAGGGCCACACAGCAATCGGCAGGGGCCAGGGGTCTACCTGGGCCACGTGTCCTTCTCTCCGACCGCGCACCAGGCCCCACACTGAACACTGACGTGTGTGGAGTCAGAGGAGCTTTGCATGAACTGTGGCTCTCAGAGTCTTTCTGCCCATTTTACAGATGAGGGACATGAGGTTCAGAGAGGAGCCTCAGGGCTCCTCTTTGGTGTTGGTTCAATTCCATTGGCGCCTCCTTGTTCCCACCCTGTGCCCCCACGGCAGTGATGGTGGAGACATGGGCAAAGTCACTTCCTGCCCAGCGAACAGGCTGCCACCGTTAGCTCCCAGAGGACAGAGAGGGGTTGAAGGGGGACAGTCCTGGAGCTGACTGGGGGGCCTAACCCAATTCTCGTCGCGAGCTGTGTGACCTCGTAGGAAGTAGTGGACATCTCTGTTTCTCCATCTTCTCATCTGATCACTGTAATGTCCTCCCAGGGTTGCTTAAGAGTATCAAGTGGGTTAATTCACATAAAGCACTTTGTACGGTGCCTGGAGCATAGAAGGAGCTCAGAAATGTTGGCCATATTTACTGATTACTTCGGTGCGCAGGCACCGGGCCAACACAGATATGAGAGTGGGCTTCTCCCATGTCTTCTCTGCCCAAAGCCCCCATATGCCCACCTCCCTTGGGCTTCTCCCCCCACCACCTCCCCCTTCCACACAGCAGCCCTCCCCCCGAGGGCTCACCGTATTTAACTAGGGTCCCATTTTCCCGATAGATTGTCAGGTTGCTGGATTCATAGGTGCAGTTGTCCCCACTAGGCCAGACAGAAGTGAGGAGACAATCAGTAAGACAGTCAGGGAGAAGTAGACAGTGCAGCCACTGAGCAGCAGGAGTCGAATGGCAAGTCGAGTCAGACCCCCATGCGTTTCATGCAGGAGAAGGCTAAGGCCAGGAAGAGGGAGGGGCTTGCTCAAGGTCTCTGGGGTACCTGGAGCTCAAGCCAGGAGCTGGGGCTGGGCCTGGGCTGAGCTGGCCAGTGAGGGTCTTACATGGTTATGTATTCTCTGAGCAGTACCGTGTCCTCCGTGTGGTTGGGTGTCATGTAAAAGAAGGCGGTCTTTATCTTGCTAGCTAGCTCCTTATACGCTGGGTACCGGTAAGCTGAAGCAATATAAAACCACCGGCCAGAGATCTGGGGAAAGCCAGAGGCAAGTGATGGAGGTTGGGAAGAAGCCGGACCAGATCTCTCCATTTTGCAAAACAGGAGACTGAGGGCCCCAGGACGGAGTGCACATGCAGGAGCGGGCATGCAGGAGCTCACTCCAAGAAGCAGCATCACCGCCACCCCCGGCGGCCCCTCTGAGGGACTTTGCAATGAGGATTCCAGGTGTGGAGGCAGCGGAACGCAAAGCCTTTGGAGGCTGACCGGATTGCCTCCCCCAGACCCGGGCGAGAAAAGGGCAGCATCAGGAGAGGGGGCTAATGACAAGCCAGCAGGGGAACGGGAAGGGAGGGAGAGAGCTGCCCACGGCGTCAGGGGCCCAGGCACTCACCCGGTCCAGGGCGGCTTTGGTGATAGGCACCGTGTGATTGGTACACACCGGGCTCCCAGCATCCAGCAGTGGAAGAAGGCTCAAGACTGCAAGGGCCCAAGGCAGTGCCATGCTGAGACAAAGATGCGCCAGACTTAGGTGGTACTGGTGGCTGAAGTCTGCGGTGACCTTTATAATGAGCTGTGTGCGGGACGCTGGGAATCCACTGTGACACAATCCGGAAGTGCTTCCGAAATGCCACACCCAGAACATTCCCTCCTGGCTGTCCAGAGCCAAGGTGGATGCCCTGGCCAGCTTGGCTCTGTTTGTCGGCCATCCTCCTGCAAAACAAAAGGTCATTGGTTGCCTTCCGGTCAGGGCACATCATGGGTTGCTGGCCGGCTCCCAGTTAGGACGAGTGACAGAGGCAACCCGTTGAACTCCCTCTCACGCACTGATGTTTCTCTCCATTTCCCTCTCTTTCTCTGAGGGACGCAGACATAAATCAAACATTTCAGGCAGGTTGGAGGGTTCTCAGGCCAGCACTGGGTGGAGGGTCCTTGGGGTGAAGAATGACTGTAGGGGTGTGGGTAGGGCAAACGTGGACTCCGTCCCACCTGAGTGTGGTAACAAGGGTGAAAGAACAAAGGTCCAGCAGGGCTCCAACCCAGGCCTGGAGGCAAGGACATTTCCAAAAAAGGGAGGCACAAAGGCAAACGTCTGTTTTCAGTAAGTGTGTCACCTGACTCGCCTCCCAGCAGGTAAAACAGGAAGTTATTTCTGCGTTGTCTCTACCCTCTGCTGTCTGAACAGGCAGCTTGCCTCTCTTCCCCCCGGGGTGTCCCCCAGCCCGGAACAGCCCAGCGCGCAGCGGGCCTCGGGAGCTGCCCCGGGTCACATCTCTATCCTCACCGATAGGACTTACGGAACTACTAGGGTGTGCTTATCAGACTGCATTCTCGTTCATTTTATATATCTCCAATAATTTTTCATACTTCAGTGTACTCTGTAGTTACAATTTTAAAGCACACGTAACCTTTTATTCACGTCCTCGGTTAGCATTTATTTAATCATGTCCTGTCTATACTCCCAGAAGATTTTATTTTATTCTTTTCCAGCTTCGTTGAGATATAATTGCCCATAGCATTTTAGATTGTGATGTTTTCCTCCGATGAGAGCTCTCAGGGAGTGACCAGATTGCTTTCTAAAATAACCGTACCGTTCCAGACAAAGAGGAGCATATGTCATGTGTAAGACTTCAGTGTTACTTAAAATAGGCAAAAACTAGAAGGAGTTCAACTGTCTGTCAGCGGGAAAATGGAAAAACGAATCGTAGCATTTTCACGCCACAACAGATTACTTAGCAATGAAAAGAAACGAACCACTGACACATGTAACAATGTGAATGAATCCTATAAACATTACCCTGAGCAAAGAAGGCCAGACTCGGTAAAGCGTATGCCATATACTCCGCAGGGGTTCCGAATGAGCCTCCTCAAGATGTGCCATTCAGGAGATTATTCTGAGGCGGCAGCAACCAAGGCCCAGAAGTGAGAGGAACCTTTGACTTCCCCCACTGACTGCCTGCAAGGGTTTCAGAGCAAGGACCTGCTCCAGGAGGGGAGCTATCGCCCTGGACAGCTACAGTTATCTAAGGGGAAGTGGGGACCAAGGCAAGAGCAGGGTTTGGTCTTTCTGCTGTCCAAGTAACAGCTCTGGCCTAACCAGTGTGCCTCTTGCAGCTGAACGGCAGACAGTGAGTGTGACAGAGTAAGAAGTAGGGATCTGGTCTCTGCCTCTGGTTCCTGGCAGGCTTGTCCTAAAAGCCTGGGAATCTTCACCCTGATAAGTATCTTTTTGTATGCGAATGAGATGACTGGTGTCTGGGGACTCCTAAGTTATCTCAGGATGGGGGCTGGTTACCAGGGGAACCGACCAAATGATCATAGGGTAGAACTTACACCCCCACCCCTGCCTTCTGGGGAGGGATCTGGGGCATGAGATTGACTTGGTCTCTACTGATGGCCAATAATGGAGTCCATCATGACCACATAGGGAAGCTTTCATAAAACTCCTATGTGATAGGGAGTGTAGAGCGTCCAGGTTGGGGAACATGAGAAGGTGCTGGCTAGGTGGCCCGCTCACAGAAGGCATGGGAGTCTCTGCCCCTAACACAGGCTTTGCTCTATGCATCTCCTCTATCTGGCTGTTCCTGAGTTAGATCCTTTTCTAATAAACTGCTAATCTAGTAGGCAAAGTATTTTTCCTGAGTTCTGTGAGCTGTTCTTGCCAACTGCCAAGCTCAAAGGCAAGTTGGGTCAGAAGTACAGGTGACAACCTGGACTTGGGATTGTCCTCTGAGTGTAGACAGTCCTGTGAGACTGAGCCCTTAACTTGTGGATATGATTCCAACTCCAGTTAGAGTGAGAAAAGCATTGACTTGTTAGGACACCCTAATGACACCCGGAGAGTCGACTCGTTTGTTGTACAAGAACACTCACAACTGGTTGCCAGAGTATTGTGAGAGGAGAGAAATAAGATTTTTCCCTTAAGTGAGTAAGCGGAGTGCCTCTCCTCGGAAGGACTGAGTTGCCCTCAGCATCCTCACTGGCCAGGCTGCCCCTTGTGGGCCTCACTCTCTTCCCAAAGGCTACTCAAATAGTTCCTTCCAGGGCACCCAGCACCCACCTTGACACAGGACAATTTTCTCTGTCTTCCGTAATTTCAAAGACTCTCTCGTACCTCCATGGACTGAGCTTCTGAGCAGCCCTGTATTGTCTGCCCCTTCACCTGGCCCTGGCACAACCTCAAGAGAAGTTTCACAGGAAAGAAAGAGACAGAAGAACCATTAGGGTAGTTAAAATGGTGCTGAAGTGTTTTCCTGAAAATCACTGGCTAGCTAGCTGTGTGACCTTGGGCAAGTACTGAACTTCTCTGTGCCTCTATTTTCCTACCTGGAACATGGGGATAATAATAGTGGGTACTTGTTGGATTGTTTGGAGGATTAAATCAGTTCACTTTGTCAGTGCTTGTTAAATGAAACAAATTTGCTCCTAAGTGTCTGCCCCTTTATAGTAATTATCACCGTCAGTTTAATGACAAGCTGGGGTGGGGAGGAAAGAAAGACAGGTTCCTGCACGCCGTAACTGCTCCAGTGATCGCAGGTTACATCTCACTTCTAAAGATATCAGAATGCAAAACTATGGCTGTAGTAGGAGCAAGGAAATAGGATATTTCCCCCCATTAGAGAGATGAGGAAAGAGATGGCCCAGCGAGGAAGGGAGGCACGGTGAAGAGGCGAGGTTTAGACAACCAGGGAAATGAGCCCATTTGAGAGCATTCATTCTCTGAGAAAGCCACTTGATCTATCCTTCGTCAGACCCGGGCTGAGCTCTGAGTCCATGAGTACTTTGTGGTCTCCCGCCTGAGCAGCCACAAAAGTACATTGGCAGAGCCAATGTAATTCGCAAACTCTGCGAATTAGGAAGTTTGAGTTTGGTTGAGGAAATACCCCAAAAGAAGGTTTGCTACAGTTCAGATCCTGTTCCGTGGTTTTGGGCAACTTAGGTAACCTCTGTGGACTTCAGCTCCCCCATCCGAAGAGCCAGGGTCGGTCTCAGAGGGTTATGCACGGGCTGCGAGCATATGACATGAACACACTCCGGGTGCACAGGCAGCGTGCACGAAATGCAGCTGCTCTCATTTTGAATGGTGCTGCCATTGGGTTGAACCCTAAGATGCCGTGGGTTTTATAGGTCAAAAAGCAGTTGACTATCATTTTTTCCACTCCCTTTACCATGCTATTATGAAACGATAGCCCTGTCTGTGATTGGCAAGGAGGGAAGGGCACAGTATCCCCATGTTGCAGAGGGGGACACTGAGGCTCAGCGACGGGCAATGACATGCCCAAGGCCGTGTTTGGTTACGCGGCCGGGACGGGATTCAGCTGCCAGGCTCTTCCCTTGTTGCCTGCTGCTCCTTTACTCTCCCAGCGCCAGGCAGCTGGGCATTGTGGGATGTGGCTGCCCATGGCTGGAACTTGATTCACTGTGGACAGAGCAAACACAGGCTGGCCTGGACTGTCCCGGAGTCGACAGGCCTGGGACGTCCAGCCTGGCTGTTTCCTGGCCCTGGGTTGGGCAACAGGAGATGGGAAACTGCAGGCGCTGCCCACCCAGGAAAAGCTGCCTCCTGTCCCCGGCAACCTCCTACTTGCGCCTGCTGGGAATGAGCTGGCATTTGGTGGCGAGGTCCCGGGAGGCCCTCCTGGAATTCGGACCAGCTGAGAGCGCACGTCACAGTTTTAACACAGCCCCTCCCCTCTTTTCTCTCTGGCCCTTCTGCCTGGTCCTGTCTTCCCCTCCCGTGTCTTCAGAGCCACACACATGCTGCTGACGGTTCTGGAGCTCTGGCAATGGCTAGGACCTCTTTCCCGTCCTCCCAGCCCAGCCGGCTGCCTCCTGGACAGCTCCGCTCCAGAGCCCCATTGTCACCCAGCCGACTTGGCCCACCCAAAGCCTGCCTTCCTGTGCAAGCCCGTGGCTTGTCCTGTTTCTAGCCCAGTACCCCAGGCCTTCCTACACCCTGACGAACCATTTGAACTCCTTACGCTTCCCCGCGTACGCAGTGATACCTTTACTACCAGGCCTTGTCAGGTATGTTCTCTCTCCCCTCAGTTGGGTGCCCAGATACTTAATTAAACTGCTTGAGATAAACATCGGCCTTTTCTTGCCCTCAGACATGAGTCGAAACATCAGTTCGCTCTGGGTCTCAAGCCCGCCAGCCTGCAGCCTAGAACGATATCAGGTCTCCTTGGTCTCCAGCTTGCCAACTCATTTGGTAGATCTTGAATCTTGCGACCGTCGTACTCATATGTGCCAATTGCTTATAAGAAAGTCCTACACACACACACACACACACACACGGTTCTGTTTTTCTGGAGACCCTGCTTCATATCGTGTCACCTCTTGACGATCCTCCCCCTGTTGAGGTTGCATCAGCTGTGCCCCTTTTTGATCCCCCTGCTCCCTCACACCTGGCCTCCTAACCCTTAATCACACAAGTTCCAACCCCTTTCTCCCCCTACACCTGACTCGGAGGCCCTAGGACTCGAGGCCAGATCCATCTCGGTTACTGCAGTGCCCACACATGGCTCAACACGCAGGCGGTACTACTGATAAATGAGGGAGGAGGAAATGAAGACACGAGCAATCATTTAACTAGCCCGAGTGCCTTCAGTGTGCTCTAGTCTGGCTGCAGCAGGGAGCAAGATACAAGTCCTGCCCTCAGGGAGCTTCCTACGGGAAACAACTTTAAAGTGACTGCACTTTCTCTCTGTAGAATGGGAAGCATGATCGAACAGCTGCATATTAAAGTGACTGAACTGTCTGCACATCGGGAGGTGTGATCAAACAGGTGGGTGTTAAAGTGAATGGACTTTCCCTCTGCACATTGGTAAGGGTGACCAAACAGCTGGGTATAAAAGTGACTCAATGGACCCTCTGAAATTCGAGAAGTGTGATTGAACAGCTGGGTACATTCCTTGAGGTTCACAGTCCATAGGGAATGGGCCATTCTGCCTGTTTTATTTCTGATTAATTCTTAGTCAAATAAATTTAAAAAAACCATTCTTATCTCTTTTCCGATTTTTCCCCCAAGTCAGAAAACCATTTTTCTGATTTAGGACACAGGGCAAGGCAGTGATGTTTGGGATCTGAGCAGGCACTCAAATCTCCAGGGAGGCTTTCAGATGGCTGGCCCCACCTTCAGGATTAATGATTCTTTAGGATTGTGAACGTGCTAAGGATGTGCATTTATAACCATTTCCAAGCCTCACAGGAGTGTCTGTTGGAGAGGACCACAGACACCTAGAACATACACAAACCCACCCACCTGGGAATCAGCCCTGGAATGGCTTTATTTCCTTTTGGGTAGCTGGGGAAGTAACGGAAAGCAGGCCGAGAGCAGAGCAAGCGGCATTGTATCCTCTCAGACTCTTCTCATGTACAAGTGTCACTGTTCAATGACCTGGGTTGCAGCACCCTGGCGAATACCTAAGGCTCTGCCCCACCTAATGTAACAGGTACACCCAGCCAAAGAAACATGGCCCAAATGAAAGGGCAGATCAAAGCTCCAAAAATAGAACTAAGCAATGAATTGATAGCCAACCTATCAGATGCACAGTTCAAAACACTGGTAATCTGGATGCTCAGTGAATTGGCTGAGTATGGTTGCATAATGGAGGAAAAAGTGAAGGCTACGCGAAGTGAAATAAAGAAAAATATGCAGGGAACCAACAGTAAAGGGAAAGAAACCGGGACTCCATTCAATGACTGGGAGCAGAAGGAAGAGATAAACATTCAACCAGAACAGAATGAGAAACAAGAATTCAAAAAAATGAAGAGAGGCTTAGGAACTTCTTGGACAACTTAAATTTTCCAACCTCCGAATCATAGGGGTGCCAGAAGACAAGGAAGAAGAGCAAGAAATTGAAAACGCCTTTGAACAAATAATGAAGGAGAACTCCCCTGATCTGGCCAAGAAAATAGACTTCCAGGAGAACCAGGAAGCTCAAAGATTCCCAAAGAAGTGAACCCATGGAAGCACACACCAAGGCACATGATAATTACATTACTCAAGATTTAAGATAAGGAGAGAATCTTAAAAGCAGCAAGAGAAAACACGACAGTTGTCCACAAAGGAGTTCCCCTAAGAGTATGAGCAGATGTCTCAGAAGCAACCTTGCAGGTGAGAAGGGGCTGTCAAGTATTCAAAGTCGTGAAAGACAAGGACCTACATCCAAGATTACTCTATCCAGCAAGGCTGTCCTTCAGAATGGACGGGCAGACAAAATGTTTCCCAGATGAGGTCAAGTTAAAGGAGTTCATCAGCACCAAGCCCTAATTATATGAAATGTTAAAGAGACTTATCATAGAAAAACTATGAACAAGAAAATGTCAACAAACTCACAAATATCCCCAACTGAACCTATTTAAAAAAACAAAACTAAGCAAACAACTAGAACAGGAACAGAGTCATAGAAATGGAAATCAGAGGGGAGTGGCAGGGGGAAGAATGGGGTGAAACACGGAATAAGCAGCATAAACACCAGGTACTGAATCAACAGGGGGAGGTTAAGAATATTACAGGAAATGGAAAAGCCAAAGAACTTATATATATACGAACCAGGGACATGAAATCTGTCCATGGGCAGATTGGAACAGAGTAGGGAGCCCAAAAGTGAACCTTTATAGTCAAATATTTGATGGAGGAAGCAAGCACATGCAATGGACTAAAAATAGTTTATGCAATAAATGGTGTTAGGGGACTCCTGATCAAGAAGTCAGGATAGGTAAATCCAGCTACCTCCTCACACAGCCACATCAAAAGTACAACTAAATTATAGAACAACCATCACTAAGAACCATCAGAAATCAGGTTGAATGGACAACCAGGGAATTAAAGAAGCCATGTTCATCTAGACTGGTAGGAGGCACAGAGATGCCGAAATGGGGAGATGAGGAGAGCGCGGGTCCCACATGATGTGTGGTGGTTTAAACTCAGGAGAGATAACTTGAGAGTAAGGGACCCACACCAAGCCTCACAATCCAGGGTTCCAGTGCCAGGGACACAAGTCTCCATAATGGCTGCTTGAAAAACCAGGGGGGATTGTCAGTGGAAGAAATTGCTGAATTCCCAAGCAGTTCCTCTCAAAGGGCCCACACACAGACGTACTCAGACTCGCTCCCTCTGAACTCCAGCACGGGGGCAGCAGTGAAAGGGCACCAGTGGCGTACGGCGAGGACGTGAAGTGTCTGGCATCAGGGTGACACCTGGGAGACAGCTTTCTCCCAGACAGAATTCCGAGCAGAGGCCATTGTTCCTTTTCTGTGCCCTCCACCCACAGAGCAGGCTGGCTGGAGCCATATCGGAGACTACCTCAACCTGGCTCACACTCCGTGGCCCACCCCGGTGTTTCCCTGAGGGTCTGCCCCACCCAGCTGCAGGGCCCACCCAAGCTCTTAACAGCGGCTTTTCCACGTGACTGCCTTGTCTTGGCTCACGCTTCAGATGTTCCTAGAGCCTCTCCAACAGGCAAGAGCCAGCCCTGGCTGGCCCGAGCCTCAGTACCTCTTGCTAAGTGGCCCCCGGCCTGGATCTAGTAGCATTAGCCTTGGCTCACAAGCTGGCTTCGCCTGGGTTCTGAGAGCCCAGCACAAGTAGCAGCGGCCTGCGGATCGCTCTGCCGCTCACGCTGGGTGGCCCCAGGCAGAATGCCGGTAGTGGCTGATGTTGGCCTGCACCACCCAGGAAACCCCGGAACCTGTGCACCCAGCAGACAGCTACAGACCGCGTCAGAGCACCACCGACCAACCACCTCTGTAAGCGACACAGTCAGCGGGCGGACTCAGTGGGCTCCAGACCCTCTTGAAGAAAGTCCAGAGCCGAGGAGTGCATCCCTGCGCAGCTATCATTAATAAATGATCACCCAAGTGCTGGTAATGATGTGGAGAAAGGGGAAGCCTTTTGCACTATTGGTGGGAATGCAGATTGTTGTCCCCACTGTGGAAAACAGTATGGAGACCTCGAAAAATTAACGACGGCACTACCTTTTGACACAGTGATCCCACCTGGGAATACATCGGCGGAAACCCCAAATACTAATTTGCAAGAACATAAGCACCCCTATGTTTATTGCAGTGTTATTTAAAAATGCCAGGATAAGGAAGCAGCCCAAGTGTGCATCAGTGGATGAGTGCATAGAACGACGAAGGGATATTTACACATTGGAATACTACTTCACTCATGAACACAAAGAGAATTTTACCCATGTGACAGCATGGATGGATCTGGAGAACCGTAGGCTAAGTGGTATAAGCCAGCCAAAGGAAGACAAATACCTCGATTTCACTCCTATGTGCAATCTAATGAACAAACTGAATTAATAAGCAAAATGGGGTCATACTCATACACAGAGAGCAGGATGACAGCTATGGGGGCGGGTGAGGCGGTACGGGGATTGAACAAGGATGAAAAAGGACTCAGGCCGTGGACAACAGCGTGGTGATGGCAAGGATGGGGGAGGGTGGGTTAACAGGGAATAAAGGGTATTGGGGGGGAAATGGAGTAAAAACGAGGGTGTGATCACGTTGAAAGTAAAACAGATGTGGAGATTTCCTGTAGCTTCTGAGTCTCTGGGTCCACACTCTTCAGGGTGCCAAGAGGCTGTCCCATGGATGTCAGGATGGAAAAGGGGAGCAACCCGGTGGGGGCCCAGGGCAGTGGCTCCAGTTTAGAGCAAAGGACGCTGAAGCTTGGGCCCCGGAGCCGGCTCTTTGGAGGGTGTCCGCGTGTGAGCCATGGGACTCAGCGTCGGGCCCCTGGGTAACACACCTGTTGCTCGATGTGGCTTAGGGCACTTTGGATTTTCTGAACAACTCAGCTCCAACTTTTGTGCCACTTGAGCGGCGCTCCTTCCCTCACAGGACATAAATCGTGAAGGCCCCGTGTGAGGAAGAAGGCTGGGCTTTTCCTGCTGGACTCCTGGCTTCAGGGGCTCAGTTCACTTTATTCTACTCAGTGGACCCGCCTCCGACAGGGCCCCATCTCCAGGGCTCAGAACGCATGAGCAACAGGGCTGGTTTCTGGGGGCAAACTTCATTCCCCGGTGTCGTATCCTCTTGTGGATGTTGGGTGCCCAGAGGCTGCCATGAGGACACTTCAGGGAGACACCCAACCCCCCTGACCTAGGTCCCTCGGTCTCCCCTGATCTGCCCCTGCCCTGGCCCGGGCCCCACCTCTTACCAGGGTCAGCTGCATCCACGGACTCCCCTTGCCTACAGTCAGGCCCTCCCAACTCGCCTCCCTCGATGGCCAGGCGAGGTCTGCAGAGAGGCCCTTCATGCCTGGCCACACCTGCCTCAGGCCCCCCCTGTCCCTTAGCCACCTGAGCTCTCCTTTGGGTCCTATCTGGTGGTCCTCCCGGGCTCAGTTCTGGGCAGCCTCAACATGAATGATTGGGAGAATGAGTGAAGGAGCTTATGTGACCAAGTACTTATTCCAAAGCAGAAGCTTTATTGATGCCACAGAGGGAAAGAACTGAGGTACAAATGTTGGAAGGGGGGCTCAGGACAGACCCCCGACGTCTCCGACGTCCTTATCCAATACTGTGTCTTTCTCGGTCTTCTCGCCTTTGGCCTTCCTCTCCTCCTCATGTTGTTTCTCCAGCGTCTTACAGAGATCCTATTGGGGAGTGGGAAAAGAAGAAAACGCCATGATGGGGGGAGGGCAGGGGGCTCCTGGGGGGAACTGTGAGGTCCCCTCTGGACTGCGGCAGAAGCATGAGGATGGCTCTAGTCCGGTCTCTGACACTTCCGTTGGGTGACCTTGGGGAAGTCATTTCTCTCCCTGAGCCTCGGCTGATTCAGCCCTGGAATGGGGGCTCAAAGCCTTAAGAACAACTGGAATTTACAGAGCACTTACGACCTGCTAAGCCCTTATGTGGATCTGGATTTCTCACCACCGTTTTGCAGAAGATGCGGCTGAGGCTCTTAGTGGCCGTGTGGCCTGACCGAGGTCCCCTGGCCCGTAGGTGGGCAGAGCAGGCTGTGGGCCAGGGAACCCCCCTCCAGGGCCGATGTTCATAGGCCCTTTCCCGGGGTCCCCAGGAGCGAGGGGACAGTCTGTTTCACCCTTGGTCATGGGAGATAACCTCGTGGCAAGCAGATGGGGACATTTTTATTTGAATAATGCTGAAAGGATGCCATGTACTTCCAACAAAGTGTGAGCGGCTCATCAGCTCTGGGAGTTCAAATATGGTTGCGTAAAACAAGACCAAGTAAAGCCTTCCACTTAACACAGGTTTACAGGAAAGTAATGAGACCGTTACTCAGGTAATGCTCAGTTACAGCAAAAATCGGGCTGGTGGTCCTGGGCTTGCTGCCTGCAGTCAGATGACCCTGGGCACCAAAATCATACCCGCCCTCCATTGCGTGGTTGAGAGGCCGGCATGGTGGCAGGGCCTTGCGACAATCTTTCCCTTCATGTGTCTTTCCCAAGCTGGCACCACCAGTCCTTGGCCATGCTGTCGCCCTCCTCTTAGCCTTCTCAATCCTCCCCCCTGCTCCACCCGCCTTCCCTCTTTCCCCAGAGACGTCCCTTCTGGGCTCTTGTCCCCCCTCCCACCATGGGCCTCTCTGAAGCTCAGCTCTCTCTGCAGTGAGGTGTGCGTAAAGCAGGATCTCCTTCCTCGCTGTGCACCCTTGCTGGAGCTTTCTCTCTCTGGACCTCTGAGCTGCCCAAGGCAGGAGCACCCTCGCGTGAGCACCGCTCAGTTTTCCTTGCACTTACCTTTTTATCATCGCCATACACGACGTCTGACTTCTTCATACCTCTGCACCTGAGGTCCCTATAGAACTGATTCTTTTGCCTCACTGTCACCTTTGGCTTGATTGCTGCAGAAAGAGTAAGAGGACTTTCAGGATATCAAGGGCCCTGGTAGCAGGTCAGGGACAGGTAGGGGTCTGTGGTGCCTGCCCCAGGAGTGGGTGCTCCTGGGTGAAGTCTGGGTAGAATTTGGGGAGATACTTACCATAGAAGAATAGCCCAGTTTTCTGGGGGTCGTCTGGATAAGCAAAAAGCATGAAGGTCCTGCGATCCTTGGGTAGCATCAAGTAGCCAAAGTGTCCTATGCCATTCTCTGGAAGACAAAGCTCTTGGGTGAGACCATGGGAACAGCACAATGGTTCCCAACTCAGAGGTGAGGAACAGGGTGTGCCCAGGGCCACACAGCAATCAGCGGGGGCCAGGGGTCTACCTTGGCCATGTGTCCTTCTCTCCGACCGTGCACCAGGCCCCACACTGAACACTGACGTGTGTGGAGTCAGAAGAGCCTCGCGTGAACTGTGGTTGTCAGAGCCTTTCTGCCCATTTTACAGATGAGGGACATGAGGTTCAGAGAGGAGCCTCAGGGCTCCTCTTTGGTGTTGGTTCAATTCCATTGGCGCCTCCTTGTTCCCACCCTGTGCCCCCACGGCAGTGATGGTGGAGACATGGGCAAAGTCTCTTCCTGCCCAGCAAACAGGCTGCCACCATTAGCTCCCAGAGGACAGAGAGGGGTTGAAAGGGGGACAGTCCTGGAGCTGACTGGGGGCCCTAACCCAATTCTCGTCACGAACTGTGTGACCTCGTAGGAACTAGTGGACATCTCTGTTTCTCCATCTTCTCATCTGATCACTGTAATGTCCTCCCAGGGTTGCTTAAGAGTATCAAGTGGGTTAATTCACATCAAGCACTTCAAAGAGTGCCTGGAGCATAGAAAGTACTCAGAAATGTTGGCCGTTTAACTGATTATTCCAGTGTGCAAGCACCAGACCCACACAAATATAAGAATGGGCTTCCCCCATGTTTTCTATGCCCAAAACCCCCATGTCCCCTCCCTTGGGCTGCTCCCCCAACCAACCCCCTCTTCCACACAGCAGCCCTCCCCCTGAGGGCTCACCAGGTATAAGCTGGGTCCCATTTTCCCGATGGATCCTCAGAACACGGGAAGTATAGAGGCACTGGTCTCCACTAAAGCCAGACGGAAGAGGGGAGACAAACTATTAGACAGTTGAGTAGAATTAGACAGTCTTAGTCACAGAGGAGCAAGTGTCAAGTGGTAATTAGACCAAGACCCCAACCTGTTCCATGCATGAGAAGGCTGAAGCCAGGAAGGGGGAGGGGCTTTCTCAAGGTCTTTGGGGTACCAGGAGTTAAATCCAGGAGCTGGGGCTGGGCCTGGGGCTGGGCCTGGGGCTGGGTTGGCCAGTGAAGGTCTTACATGGTTGCGTATTCTCTGAGCAGTACCGTGTCCTCTGTGTCGCCTGGTGTCACGTAAAAGAAGGCGGTCTTGATATTCCTAGTTGCCAACTTATACTCGGGGGAACGGAAAGCCGAAGCAATATAATACCACTTGCCGGAGTACTGGGGAAAAGCCAGGAGCAGGTGATGGAGGCTGGGAGGAGACCAGAGCAGATCTCTTCACTTCGCAAATTGGGAGACTGAGGGCCCCAGGAAGGAGCGGGCATGCAGGAGCTCACTCCAAATTCAGGAATCACCCCCCACCCCTGGCGGCCCCTTGGAGGGACTTTGCAATGAGGCTTCCAAGTTTAGAGGCAGGGGAACGCAAAGCCACTGGAGGCTGACTGGATTGCCACCCCCGGAGCCGGGAGAGAAAAGGGCAGCATCAGGGAAGAGGCTGATCACAAGTCAGCAGGGGAACTAGAAACCCAAGGAGGGAGAGAGCTGCCCAGGAGATTTAGGTACACGGGCCCTCACCTGGTCAAGGGTGGCTTTGGTGATAGACACCCTGTAATCGGTACATGCCAGCCTCCGAGCATCCAGCAGTGGAAGAAGGCTCAAGACTGCAAGGGCCCAAGGCAGTGCCATCCTGAGACAAAGATGCACCAGAGTTAGGTGGTACTGATGGCTGAAGACTGTGGTGACCTTTATAATGAGCTGTGCGCAGGACCTTGGGGACCTGCTGTGACACAACCAGGAAGCACTTGGGAAATGTCACACACAGAGTGGAATGTTCCTCCTGGCTGTTAAAAGCCAAGATGGATACCCTGTTCAGCATGGCTCTGTTGGTTGGGTGTCGTTCCACAAAGTGAAGAGTTGCCCGTTGTATTCCCCGGTGAGGGAACATGCCTGCGTTGGGGGCCCAGTTGTAGGTAGTGGCGCACGGAAGAGGCAACCGGTCCACCTTTCTCTCACGCGTTGATGTTTCTCTCTCTCTCCCTCTCTTTCTCTGAGGGACTGTGTCGTGAGCATATGTTCATGATACAGCCTCTCCTATAAGTCAGCTGAGCAAGTGCTCAGTAGCTGCCTGCTGAGTGGCCCGGCACCAGGGATTCGGCCGGAGCGCGCACTACGGTATTCACTCAGCATTTATTGAATGCAGGTTCACTCAAAGTAGAACATCAGCATACGTCAATATCCTACTCCCACTCTACCTACCCTAGAGTAATACAAAACACACGCATAGCAATCAATGGGAGATAAGAAACCCAAGTCCCAGAGGCTAATAAGTCTGCAGTTTCAGGAGCTCGCACAGTGGGCAAGGGAGTTGTGACCATCTTGCAAGGAAGGATCTCTGGAGCCAGGTGGCAGCAGGGTGGGCAGAGTCCTCAGTCCAGCAGGGCAGACACTTCAGTGGCCCATGCGAAGGGAGATCAGCGTGGCGTGGAGCAGCATTCTGCTGTGTGGAGCTCGGTTGTCTCAGCAGTGGCCTGGAACCTGCCTCAGTCATAGCTTGCAAGTGGTGTGCTCCGCCCTTCTGGGCCTTTTCAATAAATGTCTTGCCTTCCCTGATGACATGGCCCAGGAGCCTATGGGTGGTACACGGCTGCTCTGCTTGACACCCCTGCTGGCAAGTGTGGAATTTCCCCATCGGAGACCATCTGCGGGTGGTCCCGCTCTGCGGGCGAGGCCACTCTGACCCCGTGGGCAGATATGTCTCCTTGCCAGACGTCTTTACTCGGACTTAGGTAATTTTCCTCTTGAACCGAAGTGTCGTGGCTGACCGACAGCCATTTCAGTTGACCTGAGCAACTCCACTTGGCGTTACATACATGACGCTATCCCGATCGGACCAATGCCATTTTTTGGTCCTGCTCTCTGCATTCCACCCCTTGGTTCTCACAATGGTGAGGAAGGAAAAGAGAGTGGTAGGAATCACTGAAAAATAATCCTCATGCCATTATAGTTTTAACCTAATTCGTAGGCCACAAGTTTCAACAACAAATATTAACACATATTAATGTTTACATATTTTTGTGTATATGGTGTTGCCAAAGTCCTATCTGATACAGGATTAACGCTCCTAGAGGAACTACTGCAAAACGGAGTTATGCAGAAGGCATCCCAAGGTGTTCGTGGAGGCACTATTAACGCACTGGGTAAATTTTGTAGCACAATTTATTTTGTAGTTTTAAATCTTGCCCAAGCTACAATAATTGTGCTTGGAAAGTACACCGTGAAATCTTGAGCATTTACAAGTGTATAATCAAAAAATTGTAAGCCGAATAATTTTTTTCGGAGACGTTAACGTAAGTTTCACATTTTGTAGATTACAATACACACAAAACGTTGTTTTCCACTTTCACGTGATTGTAGTGAGGGGCATAAACTTTCACATTTTAAATGGATTTGGTTGTTGAGTACTTCTGCCCTTAGGGTTAAGAGATTACCTTGCAGTATATCACACAGTTCTGTTGAGTCATCCCTCCTCTGTTTGTTTCAAGCCTTTACTGTAGTCCTGGCCCCGATGGATGGACTGTTTGTCTGATTTCTCTCCTCGCAGGCGGTATCATGCTGATTTCATCCTGAATTTCTTTAAAACGCTGATAATTTTTCTTTTCTGCTGAGAGTGGGTGTGACCTTAACGTTGGTGTTTCTCCTTCCTGTATTCCTGCCCAGCTAAAGTTTGCTGCTAGGCCTATTGCAAGTCCTCAGTGCAACAGCTTCCTTCCTGGTTGACTCAAGTTTGGTATTCCACTTAGCGAAGAAATTTGATATTTCAATTCTTGTATTGCTTTACATTGTGGTATGAGATTAGTAACCTTAAATTGTCCCTGTATTTTTTCTCTTACTTCTTGAAGTCCTCCCTTCAGGGGATATTGTTTAGTATGCGGAGCTCTGGAGGGTTTAGGCACCACACTTGGCTCCATTTTTACCTGTGCTAATTTTGCTTTCTGTAGTCGGAGGGTTTTGGATGGAATGAAATCTCCTCACACAATTGGTAAATTACCCATTCCTGTTATATTTTCAACAGTAGGTGTTGTATATCCTCTTACTTCTACAGGTTCTAAGTTATAGCGAAGAATAAAGAATTTAATAGCAAAGCAATGTGTACTTTTACCATCTAGTCCTTCTACATTAACAGGAAATCCTTTTTCTACTTTAAAATCTTCCTTAACTTAGATTGTTTGGGATGCCGTGTCTGTAAGGAATTCAGCTACCTTTTCCCGACTATTTACGAGGATAAGCTTACTGTAAGGCCTATTATCTAATATCTGTTGCCCCGGTCTAAGGCCGGGATTGACCCGGGTTCTTTGAAAAGAAGTCTTGAGCAGCTTTTCTGGCCTGTCCTTGGATCTGCTTCGTGTTGCTTTGCCTAGGCTTAAAATTCTGACCTGCATAATTGTTTCTGGTTATAAATGTATTCTGTCCTTTGTTTCTACCAGTAATCCCATTTTTCCTTTGAGGCCGAGGCTGGTAATTCCTACCTGGCTGTTGCCAGTTTCTATTTTGGGGTGGTTGCCATTTTTTGTTATTGTTCGCCCCTTGGCTTAAGTTCTGCCTGGGCGCATTATTCCACCTTGGGGGTCCCGATCTGTTTTTCTGTTTTTGGCATTGAAGGTGAATTTGGGTTGGCCATTTAGTGCAGATGACAGTCAGGAGCCGGCTGCAGAGACTGTATCCTGTATGCAGAACACACATCTTGCCAGTGGTGGGCCAGCTGAACGGTATGACCCTGAGCAGCACAGTGCACAGGTCCAGGACTGCACTCCCACTCTTGCGCTGCGAGCAGCACACAGAGGCTGGGGGTAGCACATGGAGCAGCAGGCTGGGAATGTTCGTCAGCTCGGGGGGCACTAGCTGCCTTGTGTGCTGGGGCTCTTTGAGGGAGCCCCTTGCATGACCAGTATGAGTAATCTGGTAGCGCGCACCGGCCACAGGAGAGAGAAGAACAGCGCGAAGTGATGGCAATGCTAGAACCCACAAGCATCTGAGACAAAGAGGGAGAAAGCCTGGAGTGGGAGAGATGAAGAGCCATACGTAGCAGCCTTGAGCTACAGATTAAGAATGATGGGGAAGTGCTGGGCATGGCTTTGGGTTTCAATCTTTCTGGGAACAAGGGGATTTCTGTATTTGTGCAGAAGAGAATGGCTTGGACCAGGGGGACCCCAGATCCTCCAAATCAGGCAAACTTATCATAAAAATATCTTTCCTTCCTCCACTATTTCTGTGTTATGCTTGTGCATGGCAACAGGCAGCCAGACCCCAGGCTGCTTGGCTAGAGGCCATCATCCAAAATTACTGCCGTATTTAGAAAAAGATGTAAATACAGAGACACAAATAGAGAATGTCGGGTGGCTATGGAGCAGGAATTGAGATGCTGACCTGCCAGCCAAGGAATGTCTGGGGACACTAGGTGCTGGCTGAGGTAAAGAACCTCCCCCAGAGGTATCAGAGGGATGGCAGCCCTGCCAGTACTTTAATTTCAAACTTCTAGCCTCCAGAACTGGGAAAGAATGCATTTCTGTTACTTTTAAGTCACCAGTTCTGGGATACTGTTAGAGCGGCCCAAGAAACCAAGACTTTCTCACTTTTAGACCCACCGTTCCCCACTGTGGCGTCACGTCTCTGACGTGAACCACTCCCTGTCAGCCAATTAATGCTGGGTCCACAGCCTGAGGGTCTCCTGTCTCTTCTGATGTCATGCCAAGCTCAGGGACATATGGTGGACAAGTGACCAAGCAACCGGCCTGTTGCTGTCTACCCTGAAGACCCCTTATGAGGAGTCCTCTTTCCAGCACAGGCCCCGCGAGCTCAGTCTCAGTGTTTTCCAAACAGAAGGGCCCCGGTCATCAAGTGAAGTTACTTCCCAGGGCACTGGCCCCTGACGGAAGTGTTGGGATGAAGGCCACCTCTGTCCAGATGCAATCTCTGGGAGCCTCCTGCACTAGTCCACCTCCAGCTAATCATATGTATTTTATATGTGAATGGACAGATAGTTTCTTTAAAAATAATGTTTATTTATTTATTTTTAGAGAGCGGGGATGGGGGAGAGAAAGAGAGAGAAACATCAATGTGTGGTTGCCTCTCATGCACCCCCAACTGGGGACCCGGCCCACAACCCAGGTGTGTGCCCGGACTGGGAATCAAACCAGAGACCCTTTGGTTGGCAGGCCAGCACTTTATGAGCTGAGCCACACCAGCCAGGGCTAGACAGATAGTTTTTAAGTGAGGAATTTTCCTGGGCTTGGATCCTCCTTAGGAAGCCTGATAAGAAGGGATGGGGCCCGGGTCTCTGGTGCAAACCTATCCACCTGCCTGTGTCCCACCCTTGGGAGTAACCATCTCTGTAGAGACATGGCTGAGGACCTTTCCCCTGAGGTAGACAGTGGGACACTTTGGGACCACTGGGATATCTTAGAATGCCAGCCCCTGGGATGACTTCCCCCCAGCTTCTCTGTGGTTGGATCAGTGTTTCCCATGGGCCTGCTGGGATGGAGATACCTCAGGAAGACCTACGAGACAGAAAATCAACAAGAAGACAGCAGCCTTGAACAACACACTAAATCCTATGGATTTAATTGATATCTTCAGATCATTTCACCCAAAAGAAAGAGAATATACATATTTTTTTCAATGTTTATTGT